AGATAGATAGATAGATAGATAGATAGATAGATAGATAGATAGATAGATAGATAGATACTTTACTAATCTCCTGGGGGACATTCAGGTATCTTATAGCTCACAGGTACAGATAACACATGACAAATAAAAGACAGCAACAGCAACCAAACATTAAAAGTTAAAAAGTGAGCAAATGCTAAGCTAGCCACAGCGTTGCCACCGAACACGTCCCTGATGGACGTCATGACTAATAGGAGAAGAGAAAACCATGTCCTGCTCCTCCTACAAACACTTCAGCTCCACCTTTAAAGATGAAAACCTCTGCTGTGCCAGATGAGGCTCGTGTTGCTGACCGCTTTGGACACCAGCTCAGAGAGGACGATTATGTGTCGATTGGAAAATAATACTTGATAGAATTTTAGAATAGAAAGAAAATAATAATTGTAGAAAATGCTCATCAGTTGAAAGTTGCTGTGCTACTTTGGACTCTGTAGACATGTGGATATAGGAACTGAGCTTCTTGACTTTGAGACATTTATACATGCGATCAGAGCTTTTTGATGGCTGCGCTTACATAACGTACCTAATCTAAGAAACCATGATGACCACGTCGTGAGTAATAATGCTGCACTGTTCAACCTGAGAAGGAACAATAGACATCTTGGGTCTATTGTCGACTTTTGGTTGACATCAGACAACAGACATTTCTGCTGCACCACTAACACATCATCAATAAAGTCACTATTTAACCTCGTAATACTTGTCCCAGGAATAAAAGTTACTGAAGTTTCATTCTAACCTCCTACATGATGAACAATATTGTCAAGAAACTGTCACTGCAATCAATAAAATTAGTAATGACATGCATTCCACCACTCACAGAGACAAATGGGAATTTTTAAGATTTAAGGTACGTCAGATTTCTATAAGTAATGGGATAGAAACAAAAGGAGATGGAAATCCTCAAAGAAGTGAAGTCTTTATCACAAACTTCGAATAAATGAAGGCGATAAACAAAAGCTCTTCCTCCTGCAATCCTCTCTGGACAATAGCTACATCACCAAGGCCAACGGTGCGTAAATAAGATCGAGAGCAAATTGGGTGGAGGAAGAAGAAAGAAGTTCAGCTTCCTTCTGTAGACTGGAAAAAAGAAGACCAGAGCGAAAGGCTGTGAAAACCCTGCTAATAATGACAAGGAGTGCACAGGTCCTGAAGAGATGACAAAAGGCGTCTCCGGGTTCTCCGGCTTCCTCCCACAGTCCAGAAACATGCTGAGGTTTATTGGTGATTGTAAATTGTCTGTAGGTGTGAATGTGAGTGTGCTTGGTTGTCTGTCTCTAAGTGTAGCCCTGTGATAGACTGGTTACCTGTCCAGGTGAACCTGCCTTCAGCTGGGATAGACTCCGCCCCCAACGACCCTCGTGAGGATTAAGGTGTAGAGATGATGGATGGATGAAACAAGACGCACTACGTTAGGAAAGGAGCAGTGAGTATGAGGACAGAGGTCTTCAAGTGTTTAGATGGTACAATTAAAATGAATTGGCTTTGATCCTTTCTGGCTTTAGGAGGTATTAACTTCTTCCTAGGATGTGATTATGACCCTAAAAAACTGCTCACCAAACCCTCTACTATTCATCAACCAGTCTGACTGCACTGGAAACTGATACTGAAGCACATCTTTAGTCCCTGCAACACCTGATATGTGTTATTCAGGAACAAATCTGTATTTGACGAGACGAGGCTGAAACGAGGTGGTCAGTCGTGCATATTCTTGATGATACTGGAAAGGTTCTGCCTTTTGAAACGTTTTGTGTTAAGTTAATGTTAAATGACAGAAAACAGCATAATGCTGTAATCAAAGCACTTCCTCAGCATTTGGTCCTGTTGTCATAGAATTTACTCCAAAACCATGTCCATCTACAGCTTCCTCCTCCGTTCATCAGTGGACAGTCCATTGCTAAGCCAGCTTTGCCCAACACCTTCACACGCTGTTTGTTCATCAGAGAGCTGTGTCCCCAATCATCTCACAGAAACTTCATTCCTACGCACGCTGCCAAAGAGCAAGTGGGCAAGTTCAGGACCAAATATGCCAAATGTCCCGTGGCACCAAAAGTCCATTTCAAAATGATCAGTGACGTACACCCTTCCAAGGCATTCTTGAGACTTCATGAGAGTTATGAAGAGAAGCGCTGCACCTTTTGTGAATGTGAGATCCAGACGCTGCTCACTCGTCCTTTGACTGGACATTTGTAAATGTGTTGTGACTAACTCGTCTAAATTTGAATCTCTGCTTCATTTGGACAAAAATAAAGTCTTATTTGGCGTAGTTATGGCTGGCAGCTTGCAGGATGTAGCCTTTAATGTTTTACTAATGCTGGGGAAGTTTTACATTCACAAAAACACATTTCTGAGACCAAACCAAATGTCAACATTATTCATAAAGAGCTTAAATTTATCAAGAGTTAAAATGGTAAAAAATACAATAAAATAACTGTATCATGACTGCCACCTGTTGAACTGCTTTGGAATCGTCAATAAACTTGGTTTAAAAAAAAAAAAAAAAAACTTGAGCCGGTCTTCTGACGTCATCAAACTGCGTCCCGCAGCTGACCGGCGGCATGGCCCGGTGGTGTCGGACCGCAGCGACCTTGGTGCTCGGAGCGGGACTCGGAGCTGCTGCGACCCACCTGCGGAGCGACACAGGCCGCTGCGAGGAGGAGCGGAGAGCCGGTCTGCTGAGCAGCGTCCCGGTGGTTCCGGTACCGACCGTCCAGACGGTGCAAGCTTCCGAGCTGACGGTGAGACGGACCGACAGCGGCGGAATGTCCGCCTCTGTGAGGACCTTCAGCTGCTCCTTAGTCCGTGTGCAGAAAGACACAGTGTTATTATTATTATTATTATTATTATTATTAATAATAATAATCATAATAATGATGATAATAATGATAATAATAATGATAATAATGATAATAATAATAATGATGATAATAATGATAATAATAATAATGATGATAATGATGATAATAATTATCATAATAATAATAATTAGAATGATAATAATAATGGGATTTTCTGTTTTACTTCTTACATTCATGAGTATTTCTCGTAGTACTACAGGGATAGTACTGCAGTAGCTGTAGTACTACAGTCATAATACAACGGTACTGTTCCCTGTCCAGGTGAGTCCCGGCAGCTCAGGAGCAGTGATGAAGTACGGCTTCCCCTCATTGGCCAACCTAAAGACCAGAGAGTCTTATGTCACTTCCTACGACCCCCGAACACGCACAGCATCATGGGTAATAGAGAGGCTAAGCCCCGCCTCCCTGAGTGGCACGTCAGACAGGAAGTACTGCGACTTTAAGGAGGATGACAGGTGAGCGGAGAGGACGACAGGTGAACCACATTGTTCCTGTTTCTGAAAGCTGACTCTTGCTCTGGTTGGTCCGTCCAGCGTCCACGTCTTCCACAGGTCGACCAACGCCGACTACAGGGGGAGTGGCTTCGATAGAGGTCACCTGGCTGCTGCAGCCAATCACAAGTGGAGTCAGAAAGCCATGGAGGACACGTTCTACCTGAGCAACGTGGCTCCACAGGTAAACAGGCTGAGTTTGTCTCGTTCCTCACTGACCAGTACGCTCAACAGATCCTGATCCATGGAAACATTCAGCACTGTTGCCTGGGATGTGTTCACTTCGTTCTCAGCCTGGACAGAACCAACAGAACCACGAACTTTAACAGAACCAGCGACTGTAGGAGGTTCACAGCAGAAGTTCTGAAGCTGGAGCCTCAGTTCATCAAGTTTTTACAGAACAAAACTGCAGAACCTCCTGCTTCAGCTGTGGAACCCATAGATATGTATATAAAGGTTAGATGTCTGAAGGCGGCATCTCGAACGGCATCAACGGTGGCCATCTTGATTTGGGGCAGCTCTCTGGTGGAACCTGTGGTCCGTGAAGGAAGGTGAGTGATCTGCACAGACGTAGATACTCTGATCTCACTGGAATCTGGACGGATTTACAAACGTTTTGGTTTCTGACAAACGTTATTAACGTGGCTACAGTTCAAATTACAAAATACACATAAAATACTAAATAACTAAAATACTAATTGTCGCTGGCTGTGAGAGTGTAACATCATTATCCATCAGTGCAGCGTTATAACTACACCTCTGACGTTTAGAACAAACCAAACCATTTGAACATCGGTAGAACACTGAGCAAGTTGTGGTTCTTTAAAAAGTCCATGCACCACTACAACACGATGTTATGGGTGAGCGAGCGCACCGAGCCAAGATGGCCGCCAGTGTGGCCGTGTGATTCCATTGGCCGACAGCGTGGATGAGACATCTAGCCTTTATTTTACATATCTATGGTGGAACCTACACAGACCTGCAGCAGGTGCAGAACAATTCTTTTACTATTAAGTTTCTGTTTGTTTGTGTGCAGAACCCTAACCTGAACCAGAACACCTGGAACAACCTGGAGAAGCTCTGCCGCTCTCTGACAAAACGCTACCTCAACGTCTATGTCTGCACTGGCCCGCTCTACCTGCCCAGGTAACGGCTTCTTCTTCTGTGGTGTCTGAGTGGGCGGGGCTACAGGATGACGTCTTTGTGTGGGTGTGTTTCAGGCAGGAGGCTGATGGGAAACTCTACGTTCGCTATCAGGTGATAGGACGAAACCACGTTGCCGTGCCGACTCACTTCTTCAAGGTGGGTCTTACCTGTCTGATGATGTCATCACTGATCCCTGTCTGATGATGTCATCAGTGACCCCGTCTGTCTGATGATGTCACCTGTGTCTCTTCAGGTGTTGATCCTGGAGCAGATGGACGGCAAAGGGGTGGAGCTTCGCTCGTATGTTTTACCGAATGAGCCAATCGACGAGAAGGTCCCTCTGGAGCGTTTCCTGGTCCCCATAGAAACCATCGAGCGGGCGTCAGGACTCCTGTTTGTCCCAAACATAATGAAGAGGACGAGCAGCCTGCAGGCTATCACCGCCAGGTGAACTACCGGACCCACAATCCCCTGCAGCTCAACTGGTGTTTCAGTCTGGATGTACTCATCAGATTTCACTGTTCAATGAAAGGCGAACCCAAACCCCTAA